GCATTCGAACCCATGAACTTTGGTCACGTACGTGAACTCTTAATTCAGCAGTGTTAATGCCTAGATTCAATCAGTGAATGGTGGATTGTGCAAGATCAGTTAGATATTGATACTATTGAATGCCGGCTCAATAATCTAGAGGTTAGGCATTCTCGCGTCAGACCGAAGGTTCTGAGTTCGAATTTGATGCGCAGGTACTAGGTACTATTTCCATTGTGAACATTAACACTAGAATGCAAGTACACCCAGATGACGAGTCCTATATAAGACGAAACGCATTCTCTACATTTCACTGGTAGTCACATTTTATCTATTTTGGGTATACTTGTGTTTCATAATCTTTATAAGCCAAGATGGATATTGGCTTGCAGTGGAATCCAGGTACATCCATCTGACGAGTCCCAGATAGGACGAAACGCTCGTCAAACTGAATTCCACTACTAGCTACCATCCATCTTTGCTTAGAATGCTTGTGAATTAAGGCAATATCAAGGCAATCCGTACACCATGCACATATGCCAATAAGAGACTCATCAATTGCAATCCTAAACATCAATGCAAAGATACAAGTAAAACAACACCAAATGAATTGTGTTTCATAATGTTCGAGATTTTTCAAAATCTTTATGAAAAGTGATGCTTCTTCTTTTCGAAATCCAAACACACACCATATCAGTCACATACAATAATTGAGTCTAATAATATAACATGGATTTATATTTATTATTTAAACATTATAAATGTTTATCTTCTAAATTCATGCATCACATAGCCAAGTGTATACAACCACTGACTGGGAAATCTTACACATTGCTTTCTCGTCAATGTGTTGTTTAAGAGACTAAGACGATGAAAACAGAGTGTTTGGAGCCTAAACAGGGTTGTTAGGTATGAAGTTGGAAAAAACCCTAATTCCAAACCAATGGTACACATCGGCTACAGGATCCTGAAGGAACAAATAGCGTATTGTTCTTCAACGGCTACCATGGGACTGCATTTCATGACGTTGCTCTACTGTCTTGTTGATTAGACTTGTACGTTTTATTTATTTATACGCATTAATATTGGTACAAGAAGGCACCAAAAAGATATGCGACACATAAATCATTCGATACTGCCTGGGTGCCCAAACCGAAGCAGATGGTTTTCATAGAGGGCCACACCCGGAGCCTTTGACCTAAAGCTCTGATCCACAAGGCAGTAGAGTAACATCAGGAGGTACAGCCTCATGGTAGCCAGTGACCAAAAATAGGTTCATACGCCATTTGTTTTCTTAGGATCCTGGAGCTTATGTAAACTATTGGTTTGGACTGAGGATTTTCCAACTCCCCTAGATGGATCTTCTATGTCTACGAACCTGATTAAAGCAACAACCATCCAGTTTTCATCCTTCCAATTTCGTAAACAACACCACGGCATCGAGAATTCAACAAGTATTACTTCTCCGGTGATGGTTGTATACGCGTGACCAAATGAGAGCATTTGAAGAGGGAGACCAGATTATCGCCACCCTCGACCGTACCAGGGCATTCGGAGGCGAACTTTCCATTGAAGGCTCAATGTGTGGCCCCCTAAGTCAACACCTGCTTTGATCTGGCCACCCAAGCAGTATCACAGCTTATACACAAACCAAGTACATTATGTGGTACATATGTAGGCCGTAGCCCCCCGACCGTTGTTGCTACCTTGACGTTGTGGTCAGGCTTGCCTATCGTGATGAAGCAACCGAGCTATACTGGCTGAAACAACCATTACTCAAGGTCCTACCATGTCAGACAGGTCGGTTGAAGAACAGTAAGACTAAAAGGAACAAACCTAAGGTCAGAAGGCGAAGTCGTACTGCTGACTGTACAGAGGTGTGACAGCAGTAAGGTGTTTCCTTCAGACAACCAGCATGACAGCGATGCTGCTTTCCCACAAGGAGGGGTGGGGTTAGAAATGGTCGACCCTAGAAATGCACACCTCGCCTTATCCCACGGATATCCGTCACCGGCGATGAAATCTCAACAAGTACGGAGCTAACACGAAAACTACTCATAAAAAGGTCGTGTGTGACCGACCTCAAGCAGTTGTCCCTTGGGCACTGCGGTCACACTCTCAGGTCACTAAGACTACCTCTAATCTAATTTCCTTCCCAGGTACCTCCAGAAGAACCCTTCCACGGTGTGAGCAACCGTGAAGTGATAACCACCCTCATACCTCTAACAGCACTCAAGACCACTGTATTCATAATCAACCTCTCCCTTTATATCAATATTTCTTCATTCAATGGTATCAACATTCATATAATTGATTTTCATTTTCTTTTATTCATTCATTCATTCATTCATTCATTCAAAGGTTCAATATGGTATACTCTATCAACAGAAAGCATTATTACAAATTTATAATCGTACAGCCTATGATTTAATTAAAAATTTATCTAAAGAATTATATCAAGCTAAATTATTAACAAAATTTACTATTCAATCTATATGGAACTTATATAAGTACTTGAAATATTTCAATCCAATCAAATCCATTCATAATACGATTAATCATAATAATCATCATCATTGTTATACTAAAGTATATCAATTATTCACATCAATTAGTAAAGATATTTTATCAAAGAATACTTTATCAATTATGGATCCAGATCATGATCAACATCTAGATCAAGATCATGATGACGATGATCATCAACATTATCATCATGAAGAAAATCAATATTTTATATATAATCATACATTAGATCATATTGAATTACAATTAATTAATAGTTTTTTTGAAACAAAAGTAATTGTATCACCAAGTTCTTCATTATTACGTAAGATATTAACAGTGGTAAGTTGATTGATATATGTATATGAATGTGTGTGTGTGTGTTTGCGTATGCCTGAACACCGATTACCATAACGCGCAATGATGACTAGTGTAGGGGATGGTTAGAAGAAAGTTAGGAGTGGCCAAACCAAGATCTCTTTCAATTATTTATGATGTATGGACGAGAATAGTCAGACTTGTAGATAGTCTGACTGGTGTTAGATGAGTTATATATTCTCCTATCCTTATTATTATTATTATTAACTGGTGATGGATTGCTGATCGCTGTTAGATTGTTGTCAGTTTTTAGTGTGGAAATATATCTACATTTTAGTCAGGCTAAATATGAATTATGTTGGCATTTGCCAACTTACGTCACCGATGGCGAAGGTAAGATACCTATCTATTGATTAAAGGACGAGTATACTACGCAGCAGTTCTTTCTGTCCTACTTTATGGCTGCGAAACGTGGCCATTAAGAATAGAAGATACTTGTTAACTACTAGTATTTGATCATACATGTCTTAGAAATATTGTTCACATCTGCTGGGATCACCTGGTAAGTAATAGTATGGTTGGATCCAAGGTATTCGGGAATGATGGTAAATCAGTTGATGATGTTGTGAATCTTTATCGACTGAGATGTTTGGGCTACGTGTTACGTATGCCTGAACACCGAATACCACAAAGCGCAATGTTGACTAGTATAGGGGAAAGAAAGTTGGGGGCGACCAAACCAAAACGTGGCATCACTGCTTGAAGTCACTAACTTCTAATCTGAGCCATGTTGGTAGGTGCAGACTACTTGGTTGGGGTCCGCGTGACTATCGTAGCCAATGGTTGGAGACTCTTGGTGACATGGCTCAGAATCGATCACCCTCTTTCTACCAACTAATTCTTTCTTCCTGTACTATATCCTTATATACAATCTTTCTTTTATATATTACCACCACTGAATTAACTACTTTTATGAATCCGGTATTCATTTTGTTGTGCTAATGAGGTATGGCAACTTGGACCGATGCATATATGTGCCTTACTTACTTACTTACTTACGCCTGTTACTCATAATGGAGCATGGGCCGCCGACCAGCATTCTCCAACCCCACTCTGTCCTAGGCCTTCCTTTCTAGTTACATCCAATTCTTGTTCATTCTTCTCATGTCTATCTCCATTTCCCGGTGTAATGTGTTCTTTGGTCTTCTCTTTTCCTTTGACATTGAGGATTCCATGTGAGGGCTTGTTTGTAACGCAGTTGGATGCTTTCCTCAGTGTCTGTCCTATCCACTTCCAGCGCTTCTTCTGAATTTTTTTTATTCATGGTCCAGATATTTTGATGTGATTACTTAATTCGCAAACTTTCGAAAACAAATAGATTCGAAATTAGATTTTAATTTTGAGTCGTTAACTCCACCTGGAGTCTTTCGGGAGCAACTGCCGGTCCCAAGCCCGGATAAAGGAGGAGGGTTGGGCATGGGGTTAGCATCCCCATCACGTAGAAAACTAACTCGCTAAAATAACGCTAACCAGAAAAAAAATATATATGTGCCTAGTCCCAAATTATAACTGACTGACTGAGAATAAACACACTAGAAAGGAATCTAGTGTAAATATTCATTTAATATAAATGAATATCCTATTTGTGTAAACATGAAAAACCGAGCTACCTCAAAATAGATTATGTAATATCATCTAGGCAATAACTTTTTTTAAATTTTAAATTGTATTACAACTAAGTTCATTTATTTTTTGATTGAGATCATGAACCGATTGGTGTTAGACCACCTTTGTAAACCTGGAAGGACTGGATGGCCTTTTCATCCTATTGTGGAACTCCTCAGTGGCAGTGCGTATCCACGATCCCGCTCGCAGGATTCGAACCCAAGACATTCAATCTCACGCGTGAACGCTAAACCTACTAAACCACTGAGCCGTCCAGTGCTTCCAGGTTTCCAAAAGGTGGTCTAACATCAATCGGTTCATGACCTTAATCAAAAACTTAACAATCTCCACAATCACTATACTGATAAGTTCATTTATGTTTACCCCATAGTAACAATCTTTTTTATATTATATTATATAGGTTATGAAATTTCGATATCTTCTATCAAATTATAGTAATTTATCATCTACAATTATATCTAATAAGAATAGATCATCTATGCCCAAGATCAATTCATTTATGGATAATACTACTCAATTTATATCACAATTTCATATCATGAATTGTAGTCATTTAATTACATATTATAATGAACAAATGAATAAATGTGGTGAAACAGCTAGTGGTGCATTAACAAGATTAGATTATGTTAATTTACAATTACATAATTTAATTAAAAATAATCATTTCATACGTTTAATATATCCAAAACATTCTTATCCTTATACAGAATTATCTATATCAAGGTAAGTTTTACTTTCTTTTTTTTGTTGTTGTTGCTTGAGATCATGAACTGATTGATGTTAACCATCGTTAAGAACCTGGAAGTACTGGATGGCTGTTTCATCCTATTGTGGGACTACTCAGTAGCGTGCATCCACGATCCTGTGTCAGGTAGAGACAGGTATCTACCTCAGTACAATGGAAGATGTTCGCGCAACTTCGTGAATTGGTTGAGTTTAGACATTAAAAGCATTGGATGCCGGCTCAGGGATCCAGTAGATTAGGCGTCCGCGTGCGAAGCTGAAGGCCCTGGGTTCGAATCCCGCGAGCGAGATCGTGGTTACTCACTGCCACTGAGGAGTCCCACAATAGGACGAAACGGCTGTTCAGTGTTTTCAGGTTTTCAATAGTGATCTAACATCAATCGGTTCATGATCTGAATCAAAAACTTAATAATCTCTACAACCTTTATAATGATTATTTTTTCTAACTAAATGAAAAGGTTGATGTTTTAGACTATGGGTTATATTTGTTATATTATGAGTACCTAGATTATTGTATGCCCGGATGGTGTTCTTGGGAGGTTTCGGTTGCCTACTCTGTCAATGGTAGGTGATAGGACAATGAATGATGCTATTGTTTTGTGCTAGGTTTGAAGAGAATTGTATGCCATATTCATGCGAATCTGCCTTGTTATTGTTCTTATTTAGACTATCAAATGCCCTGACACGGCCGAGGGTGGGGAGAGTCTGTCCTTCTTCTCCAAATGCTTTTACATGGTCACGCGTATACAGCCACTACCAGGGAAGTTCTACTCACTGACTTCTCGCGGTCACGGTGTCGTTTTCAAAATTGAGAGGGCGAAAAGCGAGTAATCGGTGCTTTAATCGGGTTGGTGGATATCGAGGATCCATCTAGGAGGGTGTTTGGCAACCCTGATTCCCAGACCAGCAGTGCATATGTGCTCAATCAGTCAGTCAGTCAGTTACAACGTAGGACCAAGCGCGTACATGCATCTGTTCAAGTTGCCATACCTCATTAGCACAACAACATGAACACCAGATTGATAGAAGTAGTTAACTCAATGATGGTAACATATAAAATAATGATTGCATATAAGGACATAGTACGGGAAGAAAGAATTTGTTGGTAGAAAGAAAGATATGAAGCGATTATAATCTCATGGTTTGAGGGAAGACAGAGATTGTATACACCTACTCCATTGTGATCGATTCTGAGTCATGTCACACACAGTCTCTAACCATTGATTACGATAGTCATGCGGACTACAACCGAGTAGTTTGCATCTACCAACATGGCTCAGACCAGAAGTTAGGGACTTCAAGCACTGCATATGTGTTCCAGGATCCTGAGGAAACAAATGGTATATGAACCGATTGTTGATCACTGGCTACCATGAGACTGCATTTCCTTAAATTGTTCCACTACTTCAACCTTTAGGTCGAAGGCTCCGGTTGTGGCTCCCTAAAAAAATCACCTGCTTCGGTCCGGGCACACGAACAGTATCATAGCTCACACATAAATCAAGTGCGTTGTGTGGCGCATATGTATTTGGTGCCCCTTTGTACTAATATTTATTTGTTCAAATAAATAAATGAGAGGTAGTAATCCAACTACCGTTTTACCGCAACTGATGTAGGTAACATAGGATTCGAACTGGAGGCCTTTCACCTTAGCATTGTTAGTTTTCGTATCAACACAGTTTAATCACAATTGTGGTGAAGATATGAAATATCCATTACTTCTAGCAAAGTAATCAACTACAAAATTCATTCATATCAGGAAACAAGACAATTTAAGAAAGACAGAACTTATCCAGAATTTGATTTTACAATCATAACAATTTTTTATGACTAAAATGAATATGCCAAGATGATGTTTCCAAAGATTAGGATTTTGTAGAATTTCTTATATCTAGTCGATTACAGATGATATACTTCAATCAGGAGGATGCAATGAAGTAGCTTAGTGATTAAATCGGTGAGACCATAATTTATGAACGACCTTGGGGCGACGTTAAAGTGACCTACTTACTAAGACTAAATGAGGGTTATAAAGCAGTTTAAAGAATAAAGATTATGATTTACATTTGATGGTCAGGGTTAGGAATTAGATTTAGGGCTTTCATCACGAAATGATCCAAGCTAAAAGAAAACCACTGGAAACCAAGGATCACTATACATCAGTTTCGTCCTGTTATGGGATATCTTAACAGTGTATATTCACAACTTCAACACATGGAATCAAACCCAAGATATTTGATCTCGTGTCAGAGTCATTATTCAATGATATGCAAGTATAACCTAAATCAATTTATGACATTGCGCGTAATGCTGAGGAGTCCGATACAAGGATGAAACAGATGTTTAATGCTTCATAGGTTATAATGGTGGTTCAGCTAAGATAGATTCGTAATCTTAACTACTTCTATGAATCCGGTGTTCATGTTGTTGTGTTAATGAGGTATGGCAACTTGGACTGACGCAAATATATGCCTAGTTCTACGTTGTAGCTGACTGACTGACGAAGGAGAAATATATCTATAAGTTCGTTATATTTAAAACCTAGTCTTCTTTTTAGACAGTCTTATGTAAATGAATGACAGGAAAACTAAGATTTCTGTTTAGTTCATATTGAATATAAACCACAGTAACACTGATTTGTATCATTCGAAAAAAACCCCAGTACGACCCAGGACCTTTGGTCTTGCGCGTGAACACTTAACCTTTAGATCGCTGAGCCTGTATCCAATGGTGTTAATGTCTAACTTCAACTAATCCACGAAATAAGGCAACACCGTTCACTATTGTCTACAGTTAGTAACTGTCTCACAATAGATACGGTTGAACGCCACTGGTCATGGCTTCTCACTACAATTCCAGGAAATACCTGTTGAAGCCAGTCACTAGTAAGCACATGATGATTGTTATCAGAAAAAGTGTTTTATGGAGATTATAGTAATTTCATAGTTTAATTCATGAGTCAGTTAATGGTAGATCATCATGGGAAAACTAGAAGCATTGGACGGCTAGACTGAAGGTTCTAGGTTCAAATCCTTTATGCGAGATCGTGGATGCACACCACTGAGGAGTCTCATACTGAGACGAAATAGTCATCAAATAGTGTTTCCAGGTTTTTCATGATAGTCTAACTTCAAATGACTCATGATCTCAACTATTGAAATTAATATTAACTCTTTTTTGTTTGTTTTTTCAGTATGGTCAGTTTGAGTATCAGATTGTCTAAATTCAATGTTCCAACATTTCATGAAAGTTCAACAATCCATATAGATATTTACTTCAAAAGTAAGTTGCTTTTATAATGAAAATAGAGTAATTTCTCATGTTGAATAGGTGGTAGATAACCACTGAAGATAATAATTGACTTGTAATTACCATCTCAGTAGTCTAAATATCAGGAGCTGGATATAAGACCTGGAGGTCTTAGATTCCATATATGGTTGAGTAGTGAATACACAGTGCTGAGGAGTCTCATACCACAACGAAACAGCTGTATAGTTCTACTTAGTTTTCAATGTTTGACTAAATGAGATCCGTTATGATTTAAGAAATGATTCTATGAAACGCTTGTAAATCTGAAGGCATCATGAGCTGTCACATCTGAAGATCCCGAGTATTGAATTTCATTGAATAAGTTTGGAACTTAGATATTTATGAGCCAAACTAGTAAGCACTACCTAATTCAAAGAAATCTTCTACCCTTAATCTTCGAATAGAAAACGAAATGAGGGAATTATCGAAGATCGTTTATTTTCATGGTTAGTGTACGTGCATAAAACATAAATATCTATACCATTGTATATGATATGGTAAATTAAGTGACAGACTAGTTGATTGTTTAGTTATGATCCTCCGTTTTCTAACATTCTGTTGAAAGTCCCTGAAGAATACAGATCCTTTGAAGTGTTTTCAAAGCTGTCCTAGCTTTTGAAGACTTTTACAAGGAATTCATGAAGCCTCTTAAGATCTTCAACATTTAATAATAAAAAGCATAAAAACTTAGATCTAACAGATAATTATTAAAGAAATAGACATTCTCAAACATATTCAAAAAAGCGTTCAAGTAGTTAGAAACAAACTAAAGAAAGGAAAGTTAACAGAACGTCTATGACAATATCTAATCCAATTATAGGTTACTATAAACACCATAGCTACTGATTTCCAATATGAGTTTAATGGAATCCCTTTCAGATTTACTTAGGTCAGATTCAATCAATACACTTTGAATTAGACAAGTGGGTCCTGGGTTCGAGTCCTATGGGGTGCAGGATCGTGGATGCACACTGCTGAGGAGTCCCATACACGGACGGAACGGCCGTCCAGTGCTTCCAGGTTTTTCATGGTGGTCTAGCTTCAATTGACTCATGATTTCAACCTGTTAAATTTCTAAAAATCTCCACAAAACCCATTCTGGTTATACATTTGATGAATTCTTTCAGTTATAGTCCCTGTCATTGTAACGTTGAATGATGCGATTTAAATCTTATATAAGGAAGAACGTTTGTATTAGTTCCATGAAGAAAGTCTAGAATATTGTTAACTTCTGTCAGATAACATAAAACTTTGATTGAAGACATTTTAGCGGTTACCTTAAATTAGGTTACATTAGAATTTGATTAGTTCACAAATAAATAATTCAATTCTTGTATAATAATAAACACTATACCTCAAACGATACTAACAATATGACTTGAACACATTAAAATAATATAGAAAATCATTTGTTTATTTGTAAACCGCAAGTAGTGTCAAATTTTATTGCAATTTACTACTTACACATATTACTCCAAATGGAGCATAGGCCACTGACCAACATTCTCCAACCCACACTCTGTCCTAGGCTTTCATTTCTAGTTCTATCCAATTATTGTTCATTCTTCTCATGTCTGTCTTCATTTCTCAGTGTAATCTGTTTTATGGTCTTCCTCTTCTCCTTTGACATTGAGGATTTCATGTGAGAGGTTGCCCTGTGATACAGTTAGATGCTTTCCTCAATGTATGTCCTATCCACTTCCAGCGTTTCTTCCTGATTTCTTCCTCCGCTGAGATCTGGTTTGTTCACTCGCACAGTAGGTTGTTGTTAATAGTGTCTGACCAACAGATACGAAGTATTTTGCATAGACAACTGTTATTAAACACTTATATCTTATGAATGATGGCTTTCGTAGTTCGCTAGGTTTCCGCTCCCATAGAGTAGAACCGTCTTGACGTTTGTATTGAAAATTGTGACTTTGGTGTTGGTTGACAGTTGTTTTGAGTTTCAGATGTTCTTCAGTTGTAGATATGCTGTTCTTGCTTTGCCGATTCGCACCTTCACATCTGCATCAGATCCACTGTGTTCATCAATGATGGTGCCCAGATATGTAAAGGTTTTTACATCTTCCAAATCTCCTCTATCAAGTGTAATTCGATTGTTGCATGCTGTGTTGCATCGAAGAATCTTGCTTTTATTGTACTGGTTGGCAGTAAACTCTTGAGTAGTTCCATTTTCCAATTCTCGTTAGCACTTATTTATAAAAAAACTGGAGAAAAGAAAGTTTTTGTCGAAAAAAAAGTAAGCCAAATAGATTCTACGTAAATAAAGGTTTCGACAACGGCACTCTTATCCTCCTCCGCCTCCTTCCTATGTATGTTTCTACACTCTTTAAGGTTTATATTATTTATTTATTTGGACACATATATATTGGTACAAAGAGGCACCGAATACGTATACGCTATACAAGTCACTTGATTTGTGTGTGAGCTATGATACTGATCAGCTGCTTAGACCGGAGCAGGTGGTTTTCCTAGGAGACCACTACTGAAGTCTTCAACCTAAATGTCTAATCAACAAGTCAGTAGAACAACGTCAAAAGATACAGTCTCATAGTAACCGAAGATCAAGAATTGTTTCATACACCATTTATTCCTTCAGGATCCTGATGTTCATGTACACCATTGGTTTGAAATCAGAATTCTCCAACTCCTCGTAGGTATATCCTCTATGTCCACCAATCCGGTCAAAGCGCCGAATCTTTTCAATTACTCTAATGACACCTTCTCCACAAGAAGGTAGTGAGAAAAACTTTATATTTCAATAAATTCTATTATTTATTATTTCAATATTCTTTTTTTTCTTTCATTTATATTAATTTTGTTTTATTAAACTAAATTCAATGTACAATAAATTATTATGCTGCTAATTAGTTTTTAATCCCTTTTTGCTTATGATGAATAAAACAAAATTCAAACTGTATCCAAGTTGTAAAAAAAAAGAGAAAAAAGTGGCGGTTTTTTTTCTTATTTCAAGTTTGTTTCTAACGAAAAATAAAGATTAAAAAAAGAAAAAGTTTTATTGTTTATCAACTTCTCTGTTCAATAGTGTGGGTGTTGGGGGGGGTATATGTGTATATATACATAATAATAACAATAATGGGGTTTGTTTTAATGAACTAATTACATTGATTGATCATTGAATAATAAATAGTAAATTGATAGTTTATTTATTTAGTTTCATTTCAATATTGATTCAATGGTATAGAATATTATAACTTTGAGTTAAAAATATAAATTTATCAAGATCATGAATCGATTGATTGATATTAGATCATTATTGATCAATTTGAAAGTATTGTTTGACGGCCGTTTCTTCCTGTTATAGGATTCGTCAACAGTGTAAGATAGGTATAGTAATTTCGTGGATTGGTTGAGGTTAGATATGAATATCATTAGATGCCGACTCAGTGGTTTAGTAGGTTAAGTGTTCGCACTCGAGACTTAATACGTCTTGTATCTGAATCCCACGGGGGGGCGATGTCATAGATGCGCAGTACCATTGAGGAGTCCCACAGTAAGATGAAACGACATTCCAGTGCTTCCAGGTTTTTAGTGGTGGTCTAAAACAAATCGGTTCATGATCTCAATCAATAACTTAATAATCTTCACAACCCTATATTGAAGTGTAAATTCACTTGATATTGTTGTTTACTTGAACTTTACCGGTGATATTTTTAAGATTGAAACTGATTAGTCTCTTGTTGGCATGTGTGCATCTTGCTTTGATATAATTTTAATTCACAAGCATTCTAAGCAAAGATGGATTCAGTAGCTAAATGGATTACGTAATGGTATTTGAAGTGAACAGTATTTGGTTCGAGTCCTAGAATGAATATTAACTATGAAATGAAGGTACATCCAGCTAACAAGTTCCAAATAGGACGAAACGCGCATCCTAAATTCCACTATTAACCACTATCCATCTTCGTATATAATACTTGAAAATTAAGGCAATACGCTTAATATGCACATATACCAACAAGAGACTGACCACTTGCAGTGCTAACATATCAATAGGAAGATTCAATTAAACAATGCCAAGTGAATTCATCTTCATCTTACTATTACATTATCCTACTATTATTGATTATTCACAATCATCTTATGTAATACATAATCATAATAAGCTAATGAATTGATTAATTAGAAGAATTGAAAAACGGATACGTTCAACTATACTCAACTACTACTACTAATAATAATAATAATAATGAATTATTGAGCTATCACTGATCTCCCTCCCTCCCTCTCCTTCTCTTTCTCTCTCTCACACACACACACAATCTCGTTGTATCTATGTACCTTTGTCTTATTCTATATAGATAATCTAATTAATGATAAATACATAATAAATGAGTTCTAATTTGACATAAAAATCATGTCAATTGACTTATGAATATAATTTGTTGTTATGTAATGAATGAATAAACAATCTAATGAATAGGATATTTGATTTACAATATGAATTCTGTTGGAATCATAAGTCAATCTAAATTATAGTACCATTGAAAACGTGGTGGAAGCATTAAACGGTTGTTTTGTCCTGGTATGGAATTCTTTAGCGGTGTGTATCCACAATCCTAGAACCTTTGATTTTGTACATGAATGCTTAACTCTTAGACCATTGATCCGCCATTCAAAGATGTTAATGTCTAACTATAACAAATGAATGAAGGATTGTACAAGATTATGAATTGATTAAATTTAGATATAAACATTGTTGGATACCGGCTTAGTGATTTAGATTTTATGCATTTTTACGTGTGATTAAAATTCCTCAATTGGATACCTGATTGTAGGATCGTGGATGCGCATCACTGAGGAGACCTATACTGGGACAAAACAGTCATCTAGTTCTTTGAGGTTTTCAATGGTAGTCTAACTTAAATTGATTCATGATTTATGCTATGAATATACTACAATCTTTACACATCCGTATACTGATAACACAAATGTAAACTCAGCGTACT